GAAATGTTTGATGGATTCTGCCTGGATAGGAAGCCCCTTTGTATCATGTGACCCTCTCTCCCGACCTTAGCTGTAGCTGGTTAGACCAGGGGGAGAAGAAAATCCATAGGCTGACCCGCAATCTATAATCTGGCGTGACAGGATGAAGTGAGCCAATCACAATGTCTCCTAGGGAATATGAAACAAGAAATACTGAAAACACTTGCCAATCAGCAGCTGACCTGGGGATGAAGTGATGCTATGAGGGTCTGAGTTTAGCAAAGACCCCCATGAAAGAGCATAACAGAGTGAGGGGGTCAGCCTTTAAAAGGCAAGAGGTCAGGTAATCGCGAAGAGGAGCTGAGATCCTGAGAGGGTCCCATTGTCACTTTTGAGCTTTCTGAGATTTCCAATTTTAGTTCCCAGCTCTGTGGGTCTTTATATTAACCCGTTTCTCTTGAGGCAAATCAGCTAGGTCTGTGTACTTTGCAAAGCTGAGTTTTCTATCTCACAATGCTTGTATGAGGGCCTGTTTAAAGATTTAACTTGGATGTATTCCCTCACCTTTACTTTTGCAAATTTAGAAACTGAAATACAGGAAAAGCATTTGGTCTGTAGGGTCACCTTGACTGAGTGAGTCTGTCAGTCATAGCTGATCGCATGTTCAGCATTGTATTCTTTTTAAGTTGGGCGCAGAGATTAATTTTGATGAAGCCCATTTTTTTTTCTTTATGACTAGTGCTTTTGCATCATATCTAAGAAATCTTTGCCTAACTCAAACACAAAAAGATTTTATCCTGTATTTTCTTCTAGGTGTTTCATAGCTGTAGCTCTTACATTTCGATCTATGATTCATTTGAGTTTTTTAAAAATTTTGTATATGGTATGAAGTAAAAGTCCAGGTTCATTTTTCTTCTTGTGATTGTACAATTTTTCTCATACCGTTCATTGACGAGATTACCTTTTCTCCATCTAAGTACATTGGCACCTTTGTTGAATGTCAATAGGTCTATTGCTGAACTGTCCTGTTCCTTTGGTCTGTATCAGACGTTGACAAACTACGACCCAAGGGTCAAATCTGGCCCACGACCTGTTCTGTAGATGAGGTTTTTCTGGAGCTCCGTCAAGGTCATTCATTCCTTTAAGTGCTATGACTGCCTTCATGCTGTGAAGGCAGAGTTGAAACAGATTGCAAAGCCAAAAATATTTACTATCTGGCTCTTTACCAAAAAGCTTGCTGCTTCCAGATCTGTGTGTTTATCCTTGTGCAAAATCACACCATCTTAACTATTGTAACTTTACAATACTTCTTGAAATTGAGTGGTATGCATTTTCCAACTTTATTCTTTTTCAAAACTGGCCATTCTATGTCCTTTTCATTTTCACATGAGTTTTCAGATTACTTGTCAATTTCTCCAAATTAGTCTTCTAGAATTTTACAGGGGATTGCTTTGAATCTATAGATAGATTTGGGGAGGATTAGTATATTTACAATACTGAATCTTCCAATCCGTGAACATGGACTGTCTCTCTATTCAGGTCATCCTTAATTTCTCACGGAAATGTTTTGAAGTTTCAGTTTACATGTCTTACATATTTTTGTTAAATGTATCCATAACTATTTCACATTTTTTATGTTATTTTACTTTATTGCTTTTTAATTTCATTTTTCAATTGTTCCTGACTATTATATAGAAAAAAGTACTTTTTATACATCAACCTTGTATCTTCCATCTTTGATATATTTACTAGTAGGTATAGGAAAATCAGTCTCTTAGGATTTTCAATATAGATGATCATGTCATCTGTGAATTAAGGCAATGCTATTTTTTCCTTTCCAACCCGAATACCTTTTATTTCTTTTTTCTTGCATTATTCCACTGGCTAGGACCTCCAGTACAATGTTGAATATAAGTGATGAGAATGGGCATTCTTGCCTTGTTCCTGATCTTTGGGGGAAAACATTGAGTATTTCACCATTAAGGATGATGTTAGGTGTAGGTTTTACTTAGATAACCTTTGTCGGGTTGAAGAAGTTCAGTTCTAGCGCTAGTTTGCTGAGAATGGGTCATCATGCATGGGTGTTGAATTTTGTTAAATGCTTTTTCTGCATCTATTGAGACGATCAGATGGTCCCTGCTCCCATGAGCTTTCAGTTTGTTAGTAAAGACACCCAACAAGTGAAAACAAAGAATGTGACGTGGGAAAGACAGGGAAAATCCAGGAGCCTACCCCAGCCCGGGGTCAGAGAAGGTCTGCTGAAGATGTGAAGTTTCAACTGAGACCAAAGGAGGAGTAAGAAGTGGTTAGATGAAGTGGGCAAAAAGCAAATAGGATCTGAGTTCCGAATCTGATTCTGCCACTTTCTGGTTAGGTGGGGTGGAAGGGTTCCCACAGGAACCCTTGCCTGCAGGCCTTGCTTCAGGGTCCTCCCTCAGCATGTATGTGTAAGACAAGCTTTGTGAGTGCTTCTCTCGAGAGTGTGAGCTGTTGACCACACCACTCTTTTCCCACTGTCTGAAGTACCATAAGAGAAATGTCTTTTAGATATAAGAACTGCAAGACCTTTACCTCAGTGACTGTTTGTGCCTGTCTTCTCACGGGCCCTGAGAATCAGGTGACCCATCCGACTTCTCTTTCCTGGTCAGGGGCCTGGATACTCCAATGGATGGGAGCCTGCCCTTAAGTAACGGAGAAGGACCTTATGTGGATGTGTATTCCAATTGATTCCTAGCCATGACCTCTTTTAAAAATTCACATTTTCCTGCTTCTGACTTTAGTATTTTATTACACATGTTTCTTATATCCTACAAGTTACTTAAATATTTTGTGGAACAAGGTAGGTTATAAACAAGTCAACAAAAAAATGCATAATGACGTTAAAAAAAAGCTTTAAAGAAACCTGTCCCTAGTTTCTAAGGTGCTGGGACACCTAGCAGCCCAAGCCCAGCTCTGGGTCCTTGTCCTGCCAGCAGGCTGGCGCTGTCCTGCTCACCCAGTTCTCCAGCCCCTCCCCCCTCAGGCTGCCCCACCCCGTGATTAAGTGTTGCTCCCAAAGCAAACACACAGTCACTTTTGGCTTTCAGGGTTTTAAAAGTTGTGTTACTGGGAAGGATAATAAAAAGATAATAGAAGAGACAAACATGAGGAAATTATTAAGTTCCATTAAGTTTCCAAAGTCTTCCTTGTTCCTGGCCCTGACTCATGTGTTCTGACTTCTTTTCAGTATGACAATTGAAAGTCCCTTTTGAATTCCTGCTCAGGGTGTTCATCCCCCAGTGTGACACTCACAACTTACTTCCCATTAGGCAAACCTAGTCCCTGAAAAAGCTCGTGCTCCACCCCAGAGGCCCGTCGGGACCCTCGGTGCTGTACAGTAATCTGCTTTTCTGAGGCCCTGAGGCCTTTGGGCATCTTTCTGCACCCTGTGCCTCTCACTGTAACCTCTTGCCTTCCTCAGAGTCAAGGTTTATATCTCGGGTGCAAAATGACTGTAGCTTTGCCGGGTTGTCAGCACACAGCAGGGCTAGAACGCGGACAGGGTGTGGGGTGGACGGGGGTCCGGGAGGCCGAGGCCTGCGTTGCTAGGCAGGGGAGCTGGGTGCCCTAGTGCCTATTTCTACGGAGGACCCTTCTACCAAGAATCCGGAGCTGTGGGCGGGGTGGTTAGGGTCGGGCTCCTGCCCCCTTCTCCTAGGGCATGTCGGGCCCCCCGTCTTTGCCCAGGCTCCCCTTCCCCGAACCAGTCTGTGCCTGGGGATGGCCCCTTCCACTCAAACCACGCTGCAAATGTGGCTCTAAAGCAGTTTTATCCCACCTTCCAAAGACATATGACCAGCGGCCGCCCAAGGACAGCAGGCAGCCTGTCCACAGCAAGCCTTCTTCACGGCGCCTTCCGCTCGCCCTGGAGTGCCCCCATTTGGGGAGCACGAGATCTTTCTCATCAGTTCCTGGGTGATCTTTGTACCACCCGATGCTCTAAATACAGCATAACGTGCTGGTGGAAGTAATTCCTCGGGGAAGCTTTGACTTGGCTCTTCATGCCATGTTTGGTTTTTGAAGACACCCGATTCCTTTCCCCGCCAACTAATTCCCATTGCTTGCATCTCAGTAATGGCCAAGACTGAGACGGGAATGGACGCCCTGCCTCAGAGACACCCTGTGGGTAGGATTTCCATTAAATTAAGTCGCCGTCCCTCGGTCCTTCACTAGCATTGTTGAGCACTGGAGCGCTACGAAGGAGCACACGCACCCCGGAATAGCACTTCTGGCCTCTATCTGCTTCCCTAAGAGGAAACTAGAGGGACTGAGGCAGAGGACAGTGCCCGGGGAGTGTCCATGGATGTGCCCATCTCATGTCTGTGTCCTGTGGAAATGTGGGTGGTGTGAACACTTGGAGGGAGTTTTAAGAAGAAAACAAACAAACAAACAAAACAGAAATAAAAAACAAAGGAGATGTGACAAAAGCTCAGTGGGCAGGCTTTCTCAGGGGTGAAAAGAGGCCAGGGGACTTCCTTTCTTTTTGGCTACAGCATATTTTTAAATATGATGAAGTGCTGAAACAGGGCTGTAAAATGTTGCCGCTGGCAGGGGAGCATTGTTACGCATACAAACACAATGGTGTGTGTATAGTTTCATTTGAGGTTGTCAAAAGCAGAGCTGCAGGGATGTGAGGTCAGGCAATGCTCCCTGCCTCCCTCCCCATCTCCTGTGTCACCTCCCGGTGCCCAGGGGTCATCGCAGGGACCAGGGACCAGCTCTTAGAGGAGGGGAGGGAGGATTTGGTGTGGACTGGTTGCCAGGAAACCACACTATGTATATAATCTGGGTCCTTTCTCCTCCCCCAGAAGATTTTGTTTTTAATTTAGTTTTTTGAATACGTAACATATTCACATTTTAGTATACAGTATATACTTATACAGTATAAAAAAATTATAAAACAAAAGACTCCCTTCCACATTCATTCAGTTCCATCCTCCTCAACAAATAACCACTATTTTTCCTTCTTGTTATCATTTCAGGTATTTTTGAGGCGTAAATAAGTCATATATAGACGTATTTTATCCCCTCTCACCATTTTTTTACATACATGAAAGCTACTTTACACCCAGGTAAGGTATGTATGCTTGCATTTTTCTGCATGATATTTTCATATTGATTCATTAAGAAATTTATTGTTTTTTACACCTATGGACTTACCACAGTTGATTAAATTCATTCCCTTTTGATAACCCTTAGGTGGTTTCCAAGCTTTCTGTACAGTGTGTTATTTCCCATGTGTGAGCATATCAGAAAGATAAATTCCTAAGGTCACAGAATATATATATTTGTAATTTGGGTAGATACTGCCAAATTGCTCTTCATAAAATTGAACCACTTTATAACCCCACCAAGAATGTATTAGATGGAGCTTTTCTAGTCTGATAAGTGAAAAATTCATTATATTTCATTATAATTTTAATTTTCATGTATTTTATAATGGACACCTAAAAAAATTTAAGACTTAGTCATTATTTTCCTTCAGGATACTCTCTGCTTAGATACCTGTACCTTTTTCTGTTGGGCTGTTGATGTTTCTGACTGATTCGCTGGGGCATCTTTATATATTAGGGTGCTAGAGTTTGTGAATATTTTTCTCAAACTGTCATTTATCTTCTGACTTTGTTTATTATTTGGGGAGAGTAATACATGTTTTTAACAAATGTTACTTTTTGTATTGTCAAATACGTCAATCTTTTCATGTAAGGTTTTTGGATTTTGTACAATAGTTAAAGACCTATTATTTTTATTTTTATTTTTATTATTTATTTATTTTATTTTGGTATCATTAATCTACAATTACATGGGCAACATTATGTTTACTAGACTCCCCCCATTGTCAAGTCCCCCAAGACCTATAATATTTTGAGGTTAAAAAAATTCTCCCATGTTTTATTCTTAACATTTTAATAAATACATATTTATATTGATGTTGTAAAGGAGGAAAAATAATTTTCCCTCTACCCATCTGAATTCTTGGCTGAGGCTCCTGTAATAAAAAACAGAATAATAATAAGAAAACAGAAGTTTATTAACATGTGTACTTTATGTATACATGGGAGACATCCAGGGAAAAATGAATAACTCTTTGCGGTGGCTTAGAATTCAGAACTAAATAGCATCTTAATAGGTAAGTGCCGGGGGACAGAGGCTTCTTAGGGAGAGAAAATGATTTCAAGGAAGATGAATGGGCTCTTAGAAGGGTAGATGGGCGGGCCTCCAGTTTGTGACAAAATTTGAGTGTGATGTCAACTGTGAGTTTCCTCTCCTGTGACGAGCACCAGTCTTCCCTGATTGATAAAAGTCCCCGGGAGGGGATATATGACAGCTGAGTCCCTTTCGGAAGCTGTCTTCACGCAGGAAGCGGGAGATCAGAGAAGGCCTCCCACTGCATTTGCTGTTTTTCAAGTGCGTACAGCTCCAGATAATCAGCACAGTAAAGCCTCGTGTTTTAACAAAGAGGCAGGCTTGAGGGGACACGTCCTGAACTCCTACAGTCATATTTTACGGTGGCATATTCTACTGCCCTTCAGTGTTTTTGTTTATACGGGATTTAGTCTGTGTTCATTTGCTTCCAGATGGCGCATGTCCAGATGCACTGGTCCTGAAACCGTGCTGCTGCCAACTGGCCAGTCCCTGTTCCTGAGTGTCAGGGCGCTTCCTCATCAGCTGGGGCAGTCTCATTCCTGAGCAGTATTGTGGGGGTGGGGAGGCATGCCTGCCAAAGCAAGGCCCCCAGGGCGATCCCCCTGTTTGCTGGGGCAGCAGAGAAGCTTCCCCCGGCTCTGGGGCCGTCCTGCCTCCGAGCCATCTGCTGTGCAGGGCTGGGCTCTCGGGGAATCCTGAGTGCTGTCTGCCCCGTCCCCCTCTGAGAACGTGGCAGCTCAGAGCCACTGCTCTCAAGGGGGGGATTAGGCTTTGGGCCTGAATAAATAATTAGGAATTGGCTGCTGAGAGAATGTCCCCAGTGATTGCTTGCTCTGGAATTTTGCTGGGTGGCACACAGAGTTTTATTACCCAATTAAAATACAGCAGATTAAATCGTGCAAAAGGAAGATGGAGCGAGCAATAAATCTGCTGTGGAATGGGCTACGGAAGGCCCACCCCGAAAAGCAGGAACTATTCCGAGAGAATGAGGAAGGAGTCGTCCGTTGGGCCGAAGGGAATCGCTGGCGCAGCGTTTTCCTGGAGGGAGCCTGCCTGCCCCGAGGACCACGGGGGTGGCGCGGCGGCCTCGGTCGGGTAAGTCTTTCAAGCTCCCAGGGAAGACTGCGGACAAAGGGAATGTGTGGCAGGTGGGAGGCCGCCAGAAGTAACGTGAACAATCGTTCCTGGTGAAGGGACAGCCTTTTGTCCCATACAAACACTGAAACCAATACGGTGATTCTGTGGCACCCGTGGCGCGGCTGCAGAACCTGAATGCTCCGGTCAGAGCAAGTTCTAAAACGTCAGCAAAGTAAGAAGAGGCAGGACCATGTCAGCCACACCTGGAAGCATCCGTTTCTTGCTGTGTTCGGTCCGGAGCTGCCAGAGCAAAGGTCCAAGGCCAGGGGGCGTCCTCGGAGGAGACGTGTGGTCCCTCGGCCTGGAGGCCGCGGGGTGGGCCGCTGGGTGCCTCTGAGGGCCGGTAGGGAGGGGCCTGTCCCGGGCCCTCTCCGTGCCCGCCTCCCCGGTGCTTGTATGGCACTGTGCCCCTGCGCGTGTCCCCTTTTATAAGGACGGCAGTCACATGGCGGCAGGCTCCACCCCATGCCCGCTTTTAGCTCCATCACCTCTGCGCAGACCTGATTCTAGTAGGTAGGGGGTTAGGACGTCAACAGAGGAGTTTGGGGGGCGCACCATCCAACCCATAACACGTGACTTCCTGGACAAACAGTGAGGTTCTACTTTGCGGAGCTGGCATGGCCTTCCCGGCCTGGCCCCGGGGCGCACCGGCGAGCCTCTCACAGCCCCGGGGGCTCCTTGGCGGGGCTGGCTTTCCACTCGCAGGTGGGACCCATGCTCCGATCCCCCCTGAGAGAAGCCGCTGCTCCTGTTCGGCCCTTGGCGAAGGGGGCAAATGCTGGGTGTGCTTATCTTGACGCTGAGTTAATGAACATGTCACCTTCGAAAAAGTACAGACCCTTCCCTTCCCACCTTGCGCAGGGCTGCTAGGTGTTGTGTCTAGGACCAACAGGTCTGCCACTCACGCCTGAAAGGACTGTGTAAAGTGTTTCTCTAGGTAAGTGCACCTCAGACATCCAAGCTTTTAGAGGAGACGATTGGCTGCTCTTGTCTGGCGGCCGCCATGTCCAGCCATTGAACGAAACGAAGCCTGGATGCTGCAAGAGTTTTCTTCGAATTGTGTCAACATTAATGTCCTTGCCTTTGTTGTACAGCAAAGCAGATTAACAGTGGGAACAAAAGTCTGTGTCCCAGGCAGCTGGGTGCCCCGGGGCTGCACCTGTCAACAGGGCCCACGCCGGCTCCACGCCTCCCGGCTCCCGGGGGCTGCACCCCGCATGGGAAGGCCTCCTGGTCGAGAAGCTCTCGATGGCCTGTTGCTGTAAACCGATTCCCTTCCTTCCTTCCGCAAATGCTTCCTGAGCAGCTGCTCCGCCCTGTCACTCTCCCAGGAGACAGGGATACAGGAGGCGTCAGAGCCAAGACACTCAACTGGCCAGTCCCTGTTCCTGAGTGTCAGGGCGCTTCCTCATCAGCTGGGGCAGTCTCATTCCTGAGCAGTATTGTGGGGGTGGGGAGGCATGCCTGCCAAAGCAAGGCCCCCAGGGCGATCCCCCTGTTTGCTGGGGCAGCAGAGAAGCTTCCCCCGGCTCTGGGGCCGTCCTGCCTCCGAGCCATCTGCTGTGCAGGGCTGGGCTCTCGGGGAATCCTGAGTGCTGTCTGCCCCGTCCCCCTCTGAGAACGTGGCAGCTCAGAGCCACTGCTCTCAAGGGGGGGATTAGGCTTTGGGCCTGAATAAATAATTAGGAATTGGCTGCTGAGAGAATGTCCCCAGTGATTGCTTGCTCTGGAATTTTGCTGGGTGGCACACAGAGTTTTATTACCCAATTAAAATACAGCAGATTAAATCGTGCAAAAGGAAGATGGAGCGAGCAATAAATCTGCTGTGGAATGGGCTACGGAAGGCCCACCCCGAAAAGCAGGAACTATTCCGAGAGAATGAGGAAGGAGTCGTCCGTTGGGCCGAAGGGAATCGCTGGCGCAGCGTTTTCCTGGAGGGAGCCTGCCTGCCCCGAGGACCACGGGGGTGGCGCGGCGGCCTCGGTCGGGTAAGTCTTTCAAGCTCCCAGGGAAGACTGCGGACAAAGGGAATGTGTGGCAGGTGGGAGGCCGCCAGAAGTAACGTGAACAATCGTTCCTGGTGAAGGGACAGCCTTTTGTCCCATACAAACACTGAAACCAATACGGTGATTCTGTGGCACCCGTGGCGCGGCTGCAGAACCTGAATGCTCCGGTCAGAGCAAGTTCTAAAACGTCAGCAAAGTAAGAAGAGGCAGGACCATGTCAGCCACACCTGGAAGCATCCGTTTCTTGCTGTGTTCGGTCCGGAGCTGCCAGAGCAAAGGTCCAAGGCCAGGGGGCGTCCTCGGAGGAGACGTGTGGTCCCTCGGCCTGGAGGCCGCGGGGTGGGCCGCTGGGTGCCTCTGAGGGCCGGTAGGGAGGGGCCTGTCCCGGGCCCTCTCCGTGCCCGCCTCCCCGGTGCTTGTATGGCACTGTGCCCCTGCGCGTGTCCCCTTTTATAAGGACGGCAGTCACATGGCGGCAGGCTCCACCCCATGCCCGCTTTTAGCTCCATCACCTCTGCGCAGACCTGATTCTAGTAGGTAGGGGGTTAGGACGTCAACAGAGGAGTTTGGGGGGCGCACCATCCAACCCATAACACGTGACTTCCTGGACAAACAGTGAGGTTCTACTTTGCGGAGCTGGCATGGCCTTCCCGGCCTGGCCCCGGGGCGCACCGGCGAGCCTCTCACAGCCCCGGGGGCTCCTTGGCGGGGCTGGCTTTCCACTCGCAGGTGGGACCCATGCTCCGATCCCCCCTGAGAGAAGCCGCTGCTCCTGTTCGGCCCTTGGCGAAGGGGGCAAATGCTGGGTGTGCTTATCTTGACGCTGAGTTAATGAACATGTCACCTTCGAAAAAGTACAGACCCTTCCCTTCCCACCTTGCGCAGGGCTGCTAGGTGTTGTGTCTAGGACCAACAGGTCTGCCACTCACGCCTGAAAGGACTGTGTAAAGTGTTTCTCTAGGTAAGTGCACCTCAGACATCCAAGCTTTTAGAGGAGACGATTGGCTGCTCTTGTCTGGCGGCCGCCATGTCCAGCCATTGAACGAAACGAAGCCTGGATGCTGCAAGAGTTTTCTTCGAATTGTGTCAACATTAATGTCCTTGCCTTTGTTGTACAGCAAAGCAGATTAACAGTGGGAACAAAAGTCTGTGTCCCAGGCAGCTGGGTGCCCCGGGGCTGCACCTGTCAACAGGGCCCACGCCGGCTCCACGCCTCCCGGCTCCCGGGGGCTGCACCCCGCATGGGAAGGCCTCCTGGTCGAGAAGCTCTCGATGGCCTGTTGCTGTAAACCGATTCCCTTCCTTCCTTCCGCAAATGCTTCCTGAGCAGCTGCTCCGCCCTGTCACTCTCCCAGGAGACAGGGATACAGGAGGCGTCAGAGCCAAGACACACATCCCCCTGGGAGTCACGGAGCAACAACCTGGTCAGGTTGGACAGCGGGCGTTGTAGGCGAGGGGATAAATGCTGACAACAGTAAAGCAGGTAAGGAGATCAGAATGCGGGGCTCGGGACAGAGCTGCCATATTTTAAAGCAGTTGGTCTCATTAAGAGGTGACATCTGAGCAGAGATTTGAAGGTGGAGAGGAGGTTTTCCCTGTGGTTCCTGGGGTGAGTACGTCAGCAGAGAGCAGCCAGGGGCCCCAAGTCCCTCAGCTGGCGTGTGCTCAGTGTGCAGAATGAGGAGGCCTTGCAGGGAGTCATCCAAAGAGAGACTAGTGGACGGGGTGCGGGGGGTGGGGTGGAGCGTGTCCTCCTGGGCCTCTGATAGGACTTCGGCGTGTATCTTATGGGAAAAGAGCACCATGGCAGCATTCTGAGCATAAAAGATAAATGAGCTGAATTATTTTGTACCCCGTTAGGAGGTGCATGAATATCTTTCTGGCTGCTCTGTTGAGAATAGATGGCAGGAACGAGAGGGTAGAAGCAGAGAGGCCAGGCAGGAGGCTGCGACTTAACTTGAGGTATCAGCTGCCAGACTGGGGAGAGCCGTGGTGGTGGTGAGTGCTTAGCCCCGGGGTATGTTTGGAAGGCAGAGCCCAGAGGGTTTCCTGGTGAACTGGGCACTGGAATGAGAGGAAGACAGGGATCTGTCCTGCGTCTCTGGGAGGATGGACTGCCGCCAGCCAAGGGGGGTGAGTAGCACGGACTGTGGGAGGGAGGTCCAGAGGCAGGGCTGGACACGCCGAGTGTGCACAGTGTGACGTCCTTGCTCCTCTGTGCATGCCCCCTTGTGCAAGAACCGTTCTCACCAGAACGAGGGTGACTAGGTACACTGTGACCTCATCAAGCAGGCCTGGAGTGGTGTCATGGTAAGCTAAGCACAGGCCCAGAAGGCAAAGCAGAGAGATGGATGGTGCTATGGGCCGTGGGTCTGTGTGCCCCACCCCCCACCCGATTCATACGCTGAAATCCTAACCCCAAAGGCGTTGATTTTAAGAGGTGGGGCCTCATGGAGATTTTTAGGGCATGAGGGTGGAGCCCTATGAACGAGGTTAGTGCTCTTGTAAGAGAGCTCACAGAGCTCCCTGGCCCCTTCCACCAGGTAAGGACACACAAGAAGTTCACGACCTGAAAGAGGGCCCACACTTCACCCTGCCAGGCCTTGGCCTTCCAGCCCCTGAACTGTCAGGAATAAATTTCTGCTGCTTATAAGCTACTCCATGTGTGGTATTTTGTTATAGCATCCTGAGTGGACTAAGATAGATGCATTGATGAACAAGAAATCCTTTTCTTTGTTCTGGTCTCTTCCAGGACATTAAAGGCGATCCTAGTCAGAACCCCTAGCCCAGTGCCCTCCGTCTTCCCCACGGGCTCTGCTGTCCACACCCTCAGAAGCCTCTCACTGGCTACCACACCCTTGAAACATCGTCTCTGCTCAGCCTCAGTGGGTTGCTCCCGCCCTGGGCTATCTTCAGGATGCAGATTTTCTTAATCGCCTAGGACCTGAAGGATAGTAGAATATGCCGCCCCAAGATAGACCACTTTAGCCTACAGGTAATTTTGAGCTGAAGGCAGAGAACAAGCAGATATAAAGAAGGTCCTCTGGCCTCCCCCTATTTGCCTAAAAGAAGGCCGTAAGTTTGAAAAGGTGTCCCCCCTCCCCTCTGTGCCCGGAAAGACAGAAGGTAGTCGCACAGACAGCTCTGGCCGCATTACCAGCCCAGAAATGGCACAAACAGAACGGACATGGCAGCCCTGTTCGATGCCGGCTCTCCTCTTCCGTCCATCTGCCCCAGATTTATGGGACTCCAGCTGGGGAACCGAGAGGGCAGGGAACGTTCCGTCCTCCCCTCCAAGCTCCTTCCTCCTCCTTTGGCGTCCCTACCACACAATGTCCAGGAAGAAGGGTGGCGGGGTGGCCTGCCCTCAGAGGCTGGTGCACAGCTGGGCAGCTGGGCAGCTGGACCAGAAACACTGTGATCCTCAGTGGCAGAGTAAGAGAGCAGACAAGGTAGCAGAGTCACCAGGGCTAATGCCCGTTGCATGCCACCTGTGCCCGCATGGACCACAGCGGCCCGTGGCTTGGTGAGATGGGCTCTGTGGCTGGACCCTCTCAGGAACCATGGCAGCCACATATGGATGAGCTCAGGAGACCTCACGGGGCACATGGATGTGAACTATTGTACACTTTTGCACTTAGCAATGTTTTAAGCTCCTCCGTGTCTGCCCTCTACCAGTACTAAGCGACAATTCTCACTAATTCATCTCCTAGATCCACAGAGTGAGTCCCACATACCCCCACAGAAGGGAAGGACATGTAGGCCATTGCTCATCAGCAAACAATTCACACCTATATTAAATATATTATATGGGTGAGGCCCCGAGCCAGACGCCCACACGATGAAGCGAATTGGACGTATAGTCTCAGCTCTTGGCGTGGAGGTGTGGGGGCAGCTGATGTCAATATCCAATGGTAAGGGCTCCATCCAGCACTGGGGGGTATGCCTCCCCCAGCCAAGGGGCCCGTCAGTAACAAATATTTAGATGCCAATACCCAGGAAATAGCATCTAAAAAAATAGGACCTATGTCTAGAAATTCTAAATACATTCACTAGGACATAGTCCAAAAGGCTGTCCACTGCTCCCATCTGGCTGGAGCCCTCTGTGCTCTCAGGGTCCATGACACCCCCAGTGTGATCTCTTCTGGTGGCCTGTCTCATTGCGGCCATTCGCCACCAGGCTGCTAGCTTCAGAGGGGCAAGGAAAGGCCTGTCTTCTTTGCCACCACCTCCCCAAGACCTCAGGGGCCTCAGGAATTGGAAGACTTGCTGAATGACCAGTGGAGAGATAGATGAGTCCTTTATAACAGAAACTGCATTATTCATTGTTTCAAGAAGTGCTCTGATCATTACTGAGAGTATTTTTTTAATTCAACTTGTTAAAAGCTTAGTTCAGTGAGGCGCTTTTTTTCAGTGGGACCACATCGTTAATTTTATAGTGAGAGCTCACAGGAAATAAGATTCGTGTCAGAGAAACGTTCCTCGTAGCTAATTTTTTGGGAAAAGCGTCATGTCAAACCACTGCTACCCTATTTCCACCTTCACCCAAAGATATCTGTAAGATTTTTTAAAAAGGATGATACATGTTTTGTGTTCATTTTATTTCAGAAAGTCATTGCACTTTCCCTTTACAATACTGTACAAGCTCATGTCAAAAATTAAAAAGAAAAGAAAAGGAAACATGTTGATGTATTTTTTTCTAGTAACTTTTCTGTCTCTGGCTTTTCTGTTTTCTGTTTTTTTTTTTTTACAACCATACTCATTTTAAATAAAATTCTTATGTGTGAAGAGTAAAACTCTGGGAACCAATCTGATGGTTTTCTAAAATTCATTCTTAAGATTTTGAAAGATTTATCTAAATAAGAAAGCTAGGCAGTAAAATTAAATGGGCACAGTAACTGGGCTGAATCGGGGTGATAAAATCCTCCACAGAGTGAAGATAAAGCCTAACATGATACCCAACAAATAGAACATAAACTTAGGCAATTAGAGCTGATAGCAGAGGTGAGGAAGCAGCTAGAACCCCACTGGGCCTTTTAAGTGCATCAAAACCAAGAGCCCCCCACCCCACTCCCCAGTGACGATGAGAATCAGCGAGGTCCCCAGGCAGTAAAGGCGCATCAGGAGAACAAAGGCAGACGAGGGGTTAATGGTTTCTTGGCATCGAATTAATATGTGAAAGTGAGTAAACTAAATCCCTGCGATGGGTGGCTTATCTCCGCATCATCAGGGATTCGAGGAGCCAAATATCTAACCTGTTCCTCAAATGCAATCATTTGTCTTGGAAAACAGACTATGCTGTAACTGTGACCACCTCTCACCTTCCTTTGTCAGTTGATATTAGAATAACCCAGGTAAGTGTGTGAGACCAAATCTTCTGAAAAGGAGAAAATTCAGTTGGGTGGCGATCACCCTCAGAAGCCTCTGGCCACCCCTCCACCCCCACCATGGGCTTTGTTAGGGCTTTAGGTGAGGCACGATTCTCCCTTTATCCCTTCAAAGGCTCCAGCTCGGCCTGGGAATTAAGCTGACATAAAACAGACGAACAGGAGAAATACATAGATGTTTTATTTTTATATGCATGTGGGAGACGTTGCAGGAAAATGACCCAAAAGTGCTGAGGCCTAAGTGTTCATCTACTAGGTCGAACAAAGAGCATAAATTATGAGAACATAACCAAAATGTATGTGGAGCCCGAGGGAGATGAGGGTTATTTTAACAGGGTTTGTGTGCACAGGTTCTTCTTGGCCTTGAGTCCCAGTCATGGGTGGTAAGAATGTTCCTTTCCTCCAGGGGCAGGGAAGACCTATTTTATATGGGAGTTTTAGCTCCTGTTTCCAGGAAACATGTCCATAGGACACCCTTGAAGGGATCAGGATATGTCACTCCAAACTATTTCACTTTGGCGTAAGAATTCTTTTGAGCAAAGATATCTAAGTTCCTGAACTCTCTTATCTGCCTAAAAGCAGAGACTCACAAAAAAACGCAATTGTCATAAATCTCTTACTGGGATCTAATCTCTTCTTGAAGATGAAAAGTCAAAAGTTGCACCACACCCATATGGATACTATCACAAACCATCATATCTCCTACCTAGTCTCTTAAGGGCTCACTTACCTTTCAAAAAAAGTATTTGTGTCCTTTTGAATCCCCCTTCTATGAATTCATTTGTTCCCTAGAAGTGCAGCCTTGCATTGCCCCTTCCCACATTAAGATAGTCTATTAACTCCAAATTCTAACCTCCTCCTCGAGTCACATTTTTCTGTGAACTCCTACATATGTACAGGAAGTAAAATCCGTCTTTTGTCAGTTTAATTTGCAGGTCCCTGAGAACTCATCTAAGTGGGTAGAGAAAAAGCTTTTTCTTCCCAACACACCTATGTATTAGTAACAATGGTCACATTAGAATGCAAAATGTTTAAAACATTCATCACCAGAGAATTAAAACAGTTGCTTCATGTAAAGTAGTATCTCTTCTATTGTTAATTACTTTTTATTCCTTTAATTCCTTATCCACCCTTCTCTCCAGAACTTTCTCAGCTTTTCTGGTACTTGTCGCACAGCTCTCAGCAAAAGCTATGGCTCAATGTGAAAAGCCCTGATAAATGCACTTGGGACAAGTGCCACTGAGAACGTGACTCACCCTGGGTATGACGCTTTGAGGTCACGCTAAGCATCAGCAATATCTGAAGATTGCATTCCCTCTGGGGACACCTGATATGCCTTTCAAAACATGTGTGAGTGTTGTGCTGGTCTACCGCTTGGATTTGTCTACCATGAGAAAACTTACCCCATATTGTTTTGCTAAAATATGTTGAATATTTGGAGATAGAAATATAAACATTTCTGTCAGCTTACTCTGTATTGACAGACATACATTTTACTAAGTTTAGGTATTAAAGAACAAAAGGCGTCTCTGGGAGATATTTGGCAGGCTATACTTGCATGTATAAGACAGTGCTTGGCACAAAGAAAGTATTCGTTATTATCATTTTACCTTCATGAACAGAAAATTCTCGTGGGAAGGCAGGCAAGTAAACACAAAATGGACCGTGGTAAATTTTCTGAAGAGAATGAAAAGCATGATAGAGGATGATGGGGGAGGGACCTTCTTCATGGTAGGTAGTCAGGGTGGCCTCCCTGGAGAGGGGAACATCTAAAAAATAAACCTGAGGGATGAGAAGAAGCCAGGCAGAGGGGAGCCAGGGCAGAGCGCTCCAGTCAGAGGCAAGAGCAAGTCCTGAGGTGCAGGTGAGACCGCTGCTGGGAGGGCCGGGACTGGGGTGGGGGGCGCAGGGAGGGCTCCGAGATGAGGCGGCGACAGGCAGGCTGAGGCCGTGCGGGATCCCGGGGGCCTGGAATAGAGTTTGGATTCTGTCCTAAAAAGACACCAATGCAATAAGAAGCTATTTAAAAGCGTCAAGTGGAGGGATGAAATGATTTGATTTATGCTTTTAGATCACTTTTGCTGTGGGGATTGGATGGATGGAGATTTCAGGTGGAAGCTGGGAGACCAGTGAAGAGCCTTGAAGTGAGAGATGAGGTGACATTGGAGTTAGACAGAAGTCAGAGATAAGGATCATTTTGATGAGGAAGGATTGTCAGACTTGATGTTGGGTGAAGGATGACTGAGAAGTGACAGATTTCTGGCTCTGATAACTGGGTGGATGGTGGTACCATTGACATACAGAAGGAAGATTAGATATGAGGATGTTTGCAAAGTTATCTCTAAAGTCTGGGTATGTACACACACACACACAAATGGAGAGTTATGTTCCCCCTGTCTTTTGTCAGTTGTCATTGTTTACAAATGGCAG